GGGTGTTCTGCAAATCATTGCCTGTGCACCTCCCTTACAAGATCCCTGGTTACGCTACTGTATCAGTGAGTTGGCCATTGTTCCCCATGTGCAAAATTTTGAATGATTCATACATTTATTGTTCTTAATTTACACATAATGATAAAAAATAAATAATATATCATATAATACTTAGTCATCTAATAAATTAAAAATAATGATAATAATTATCTTTTTAGAATATAAAGTATATATTAGTCTAATAAACCAATGATAAATATTAGATTTTTTGTTTTGTTGTGCTACACTATAGAAAAATCTTTGCTTATCCGTGGAATTCAGCACCCTTTCCAAGAGTGTTTCATTCTCGTACCCAGAGCTCTTATATCTTACTGCGCATGCTCGATGAATCTAACTGGGAGCATGCGCAGTACTTCAGAAATAACGGCTCTGTGAACGAGATTGAGAGCTTTTGCTCCGACTATACCAAAGATTTTGGCGTAATAGATTTTGCGAGACGACGATACTGTATCAATAAACACGATACGAACGAATAGCTTTGAATTTCAAAAACTGACTTTACTTTTGGTATTTCGTTTTTCGTTATTTGTGGTGGGTACATTAGTTGGTAGTTTATTTGATAGACCGATCCCGGCTATGCTTTCGTGTCCAACCTAACAAGGGGTAGTTTTCCCAATGGATTAAAGGGATGCTTGCAATTTAAATCAATCCAACCGGTTAGAAAATCGGTTGCAAATGGTAGAAAACAGCGGGAAAATTTGACTTTCCGTAAATCGTACACGCGTCTACCGAAAGAAACAAAAAGAGCGGGAAAAGTGGATTATCTCAATCTGTATTTGATTGGATAGAGAGTAAGTTTTGGCGCAATATGATTGGTCTGGCGTACTTGGGCAGTGCCGTGACCTTGGCGTTACTGTGTACGCGCAGTGTTCCGGGTATTTGATTGGATGGATGTATGCCTTGCTGTGACACGACCGTGTTCGTTCCGCGAGCTTTTCACAGTCATTCAGACACTGCTCAATAGACCCCTTACACAGCACGTCGGAATGCAACTCAATTTGGAGAACATAACAATAGGTTTCCAATTCTCAGGAGATTGAAATTCTTTTGCTTTGTCCTCCCAATTGAGCTGCTTTGACGTCACATGCATGGGGTCTATAGATCTGTTAAGTGTGACGTAATTCGAACGAATAACGACTTTTTGGTCCAAATTAAAAATTACTTCAACAGACATTTTTCTGTGTTTTTCTTCATAGTAGGATTTTCTGTCATGTATCTAATCTTTGAAGGTAGAGAATAAATCCTGGGAATAAGTTGTGGCAAGATTTTAGGGATCTCTTGTGTGTTTGGACCCGGAAATACGTCAAAACTTAAAAAGTCCTATAGCTCACTAGTATTCCATTACTAAACTTCTTGGTCACGACTGACTTCATCCTCATGCGCTTTCAAGTCTTTGATGCCACAAAACACCTTCAGCTTCTCCACCACACCCTTTTCGCTCTCCTCCAAATACGATGAATCCTGCATTTCAAAGCGATGACACACCAGCCTCTTAAGCGCGTTTGGAACCAGACCAAGATCAGACTGGAGAAGCGCACCCCAGTCGAATGGGAAAGACGCGATCTTAGCCTGGTCAAATGCGAATTCCCCGATAAGGTCGTATTTTTGTAGAGGGTTGAAGGAGCAGAAAGCTGGCGAGTTGGATTGGCTGGTCACACTTGGTTTGGGTGGAAGAATATGGCCTGGGATGACTATTAGGTTCATTAACCAATCCTGAAGGACAGTGAACATATAAGAGTAATGGTTTAAACTCGGGCGTTGAAGTTTGTGAAGTGTGATCGTCGGCGTGAGGGTGGTCTGGAGAAATGCTGTTGTTGGTGGTGACTGACGCTTCGCAACCTGGAAGTCATCTGGAATTTGAAGATGACTTCCACTCAGGTTGTCGAAACGTCCGTCACCACCAACATTAGTCTTTCTCAAGACCACACTCACCCAGACGATCACACTTCACAAACTTCATCAATACTTATTATAATTATTGAGAGAAGCAAGAAGGGATGGGAGAGGAGACAATAGAAAGGGAGAGAAGAGAAGAGAAGACGATAGAAAACGTGAGTTGACGAGAGGTGACGTGAGATGACGAGAGGCGACGTGAGATGACGAGAGGTGACGTGAGGTGACGAGAGGTGACGTGAGGCGACGAGAGGTGACGAGAGGTGACGTGAGGCGACGAGAGGTGACGAGAGGTGACGTGAGGCGACGAGAGGTGACGAGAGGTGACGATAGGAGACAACAAAAATAATTGTATACCTTATTGTTGATCAAGAAGCGATACACATGAGACAGCGCTTTAGCACCTGAAATATACCAATACATTTTGATTACATATATAGGTTTCATACACTGTTGGAAAATAATTCCCATGAAACCGGAAATGACGTCTATGGATAACAACCTATTACGTCACCTTTTTCATGGCTCAAGAGTTCCTTGGCAGCGTTGCTGTACTTGATGTCACTGATTTCATCATGGATGGTGTCTGCCTGGTAATCTTCTTCAACGCTAATTTTGTATCCACACAAACAAACAGCAAATGCATTAAGGGATTTGTAACAGGTCCAGGGTCCGACTCTGAGTTGCCAGAGACTAGAGCGTAAAGCACGGATGTTTGGACGTCGTGTGCTAGTATTGCGAAGAAATCAGTCTGATACCCAATGCTCCTCGGAGGAAACAATCGAGGAGSTCTGAGGACAAGGCAACACCACACGATATCCAAAAGTGTGAACATACTATACGTCAAATGTAGCTTTAGAAAAGGATGACATGGTGGATTCATATTATAGTATACTTACTTGTTGACAATGTGTTGGCTGATGACTTGAAGTTTGTCTGATAGCCAGCCTCTGTTGGATCGTAGATCAGCCTCCAGGTTCATCGGGAACTTAGGGTTATCGATAAGTTCTGTTATATAAGAGAAATTTGTACAGGGTGTCACGTATATCAAGAAATGAACCAGTGACCCAACTAATTGGACAGGGTGTCACGCATATCAAGAAATGAACCAGTGACCCAACTAATTGGACAGGGTGTCA